GAAACCGAAGTACTCGGAGAAAACCTGCCCCAGCGCCACTTTGTCCACCACAAATCCCACGTGACCAGTCCCAGGATCGAACCCGGGCCGCTGCGATGGGAAGCCAGCAACTAACCGCTTGAGCTATGGCGCTGCCATTCCAGTGTTGTTACTTCTATATATCTATAGCCCTTTATTGGGCCTTGGCCGTTTTCTTTTTCTGTTTCTTAATCTATGCACAGTCTGTAGGGCTCCTGGGACGGGGATCGGCTCGTCGCAAGGCCGCTATCTGTACACAGGACAGCACACACACACACACACAATAAACTCACACAGACATCCATTCTTCGAGTGGGATTCGAACACACAATCCCAGAGTTCAAGCGAGCCAAGACATTTCATTCCTTCGACTGCGCGGCCACTGTGATCAGCTATGTTGTTACTTTATTAGTGTAATATAAGAAAGGCAGTGTAAAACGTATTTAAGTCAGTTATGTAAATCTCATTTTCCTGTACCTATCTTTCGTTACCGACCTAATCACTATGAGCTATAAAGAGCTCCGCATGGGTTCCTAAACGTGATGGGTTGAATTCAGTTGACACGCCCATCCCTTCAGATTCCAGTGACGTGGAATTCTTTCTCTCCCCTTTTGAACCTCTCTGTCGCTCTAACGACCCTCATTTATCATCGTATCGGCAAGCGGCATCATTTCCTCGAATAGCAAAATTGCAATCAAATCAAGGTTCGGTCGTATTGATTGTGACATGCATCACTGTGCGGGACATTTCCCCCTTTTGGGAACTGGTTGTTTCTTCCTTACGTAACAGCAGGAAATATCTCCCGAGTATAGTAGCCTCTTCTGTCGTTTTATCGCTCTCATAGAAGAAAGACATTATCTGAAACTAACATTGTACTCTACACGTACTCACAATAAAAACACTGCACAGTCCGAATATTTTATGTGGAACTGCAGTTTGAGTTGCGCAGGAAATCTAATCACCAGCGATCAATATTGTCCAGTTTACTGACAGGTAGGAGTACTTGCTGGACGGAAAGGGTTCGATTCTCGGCGGAGGAAATATATTATTTTATTCGCAGCGTTCAGACCATCACTGAGGACCCGCCCAACCTCTTATCGAATTGATATCGGAGGCCTTGTCCCTGGGAGTAAAGCGGTCGGAGAGTGAAGCTGACCACTCACCTCCATTTAGTGCCGAGTTCATGAATAGTGGATCTATACTTTCATTCCCTCGTATGTCTTCGTGGCGTAGTGCTTAATTAATTAAGCGCAGGAACAACAGCAGAACTGAATATCTATTTATCTTGAAGACTGTTTCCACAAAAACTGTCCGACGTGAGCTTCACAAATCCAACATTCACGGTGGGGCTGTAACTGTTAAACCTCTGAATACTGAAAGCAATGCTCAGATGCGCAAACGTTTGTGTCACGACCATAAAACCTGGACATCAGACAACTGGAAACGCGCTTGGTGTGATCCTTCGAGCTGTTCCCTACATCAGCAAGAGATTACGTTAGAACACCAAATGAAGCTTGGTTCAAGCAGTGAAATATGGGGGAGGTTCTGTGAAGGTTTCTGGCAGCAGTATCATGGTACAGTGTTCAGTTGGTCCCATTATTGCACTTCATGGCCGAATTACTGCAAGGAAGTACATGGACAGGTAGGGTAATCAGGTGCGTCCTATGATCCAAACGTTATTTACAAACAATGCAGTTTTCCAACAACAATGTCCCCCATTCACACAGCTGCAACTGCTCAGTCATGGTTTTAAGAGCATGAAGGTGAACTTCAGCATCTTCCCTGGCCAGCACAATCATCAGATTTGAACAGCACTGAACGTCTAGTGTGAGGAACAGATTTCCACCTCCGACATCTCTAAAACAACTTGAAGGCGTTCTTCAAGAAGAATTGTATAAAATTCCGCTAGAGACTGTTCAAAACTTGTATGAGTCCATTCCAAGAAGGGCTGCGGCTGTAACTGAAGGCAGAAGATGGTCCAGGATCATATTAATAAAGAAATGTGTACCGTATCTGTAGTGCTTCTGTTGCTTTGTCCAACCCATGTAGTATATCTACGTTTTCATTAATCCTCCTCCTGAAACCCTCCCATGAGCGTGTACGAGTACTTCCCCAAACTCAAGCGCACCCCAAAAGACACTAGAAAGTAACTGAAATTTGGCCGCGCCATAGCTCAAGCGGTTAGTCGCTGGCTTCCCACCGCGGCGGCCCGGGTTCGATCCCGGGTCTGGTCAAGTGGGATTTGTGGTGGACAAATTGGCGCTGAGGCACGTTTTCTCCGAGTACTTCGGTTTCCCCTGCCAATCTTCATTCCACCAAATTCTCTATCATCATAATCACCCGGGGCAGGCTACAATAGGCCAATCAGTGGCCGCCGTGCTGAGCGGACCCAGTTGGACTCCACCCCCCACTAAGAGAACTGAAATTTACACAAACAAAGATTCTTAGTTTCTTTCAAATGCATAGCGAGAAAGGATCGAAGTGCGTGATTAAACACACGTAATGCTGATTTTATTGCAGATATTATAACCACTCGTAATTTTGGATGATTGGATTTAGACCTTTATGGTATTTCTATAAATTAAATGTTATAAATTCTGTATAATTTATTTCGTACGTTTCTTTTTTTTTTATTCCCCAGAAACATCTTTCAGGAGGGCTGTAGTCGGGAGATTTATTTGACGCTGTTCGTGATGCTGACAAATATTTATTGTTCAGTAAAACGGTTAAATTAATACTGTTACTTGGATTGTAGTCAGGCTGAGTCCTTTGGTACTGCGGCCTTAATATGCCCTATTGTACCTGCCACTGATAACTGATGAATGTATATTTTTAGTGGAATAATAACGGGCAGGAAAGAAGCATAAATGCTTGTAGAATATTCAGTCTCAGTGCCACTTCATCTGCCAGATATCTCATTTCAGCAACCTTCGGACTGAAAATGGCTGACTTCTCGAATGTGACGCTGTGAGTTCTGTATATAAAATCATAACGTTTCGGAGGAACCTGCTGCCCCAAATTATTACATCGAAGATGAAAGCAGAAGCCTCCCACGGAACTTTGGTTCCTGTCTACCAAACACAGCGTTACTTGGCAGAAGACTGTAATTTTCATATTTACTACTGCTGAGAGCTTTAATGTAGCATATCCGAGAACTGAACCCGAGTCTCTGCTGTGAAAATCCTGTGTCCAAACGCGTGAGCTGTTTCCAAAACAGCATTGCTATTGTTATCATACCATGCCTTTCTTTCTAATGAAATTGTCAGCAACTTTAAACGCCACACATATTTGCAAACTCAGCGATTTGTAGTTCGCCTCCTGGCAGATCCTTTGCTAGAAGGAAGTTGACATCATTCCGCTAAGTTACTCAACATAGCTGGCTCCCTCCTTTTGTTACAAGCTACTTTCCAGGCAGTCGACTCCAGCAATTATCGGAGTGATTCTCACACCACACTCTCAAACATCTGCATCGAAACAAAAGACTGGCAAGAGAAATGTTTAGACTTTCACAGTAACAGAACGTCTCAGATACATTACTCTGCACAACAACAGTAAAACAAAGTACGGCAGAGCTTTTTGTATGCTTAATTGAACACCACGCCATGCAGACGTGTGGCAGAGTGGAGGCATAGCTCCAAGTATGTTTAATCTCGATACTAGATTGGCTTGAGTGGCAGGTCTTCTTTACTCCCCGGTGAAAGCACCCCGAATATCCATAAGAAAAGAGGCTGGGTGGGCCCTAGGGCTGTGGAAGAGCGAACCGACCCTAGCTATTTCCTTATAATTATTACTATTATTGTAACAATAATTGTGAATTATTGACATCCCAGTTAGACCAATATACGCAGAGCAGCTTGAGGATCGCATGAAGCTACGTTTTGGTTCAATTCCATTCCTGAAAAAAAGAAATGGGCTGATGAGATTATACTGTCTATATTGTGAATTCCCCTTTTAAACTTTTGAAACATTTGACCGATTTTTATTAAATTTTGTATGATCGTTAGACTACGCCATTGAAGACTGCCCCCCTCCTCGTGAAATTTAGTATAAGCAGCAATAACAACATGGCGGATGAACGAATTTGCGACACTAGCGCCATTTATCACAGGGTTATGAAATTGTTTGTGATAATAGATAATTGAAAAGTATGAAAATTTATATGGGAAGTTCTTACAGAATGTAAAACAGTGCGCCGCAGTGCGAATATTTTCCTTTGACTCCTGGGGATTGCTTCTGGATGTCCTCGCGAAAAGTAAAATATTCATAATTTCGTAATTTTTCTAAGATGAACTCAAAACACGAGATGATTTCCCCCGTATGAACCGAATCTATGTCCAGCTACGAGGAGTTCAAAATTTTTAGAATTTGTTCAGGTTTGATATTAGATTCGGGAGTTCCTAATGACAGCATTTTAAAAGAAAATGACTTTATTTTCTGAGAGTGTTCCGAAGCCGGGTTTCAGAAATATTTTAATGTGCGAATGTAAAGAGTAAAGCTATTCGTAATTATTTAAATTTGCATTTTTTTTCTCTTATATTCACAAGGTTCCCACTAAAAATTATACCTCTAAAATTTTCCCAATTTACCCTCATCCAAACAAAATTGGCGACCCCTGGTCCAGATGGTCCATCGTTTATTTATCCTACGATGTCATTCTAAGAGCTGGGATGTCGCGGTCGGTATACCGACTGGCTACGGGCTGGACGACCCACGTGGAGTTCGAGTCCCGGCGGGGGCAAGATTTTCTCTTCTCCACGTCGTTCAGACTGGCTCTGGGGCCCACCTAACCTCATATCAAATTGGTACCGGGGGTTGTTTCCAAATAGTGTCGAGGACAAGAAAATGTGGGTCTATACATCCACTCCCCCATACGTCTTAATGGCGTAGTACTTAATTAGTTAAGCACAGGAACAACTTTGCCTTTTTACCTTTACGGTCTCATTGTTTCATTTATTTAATTGTGTACACTTTCTTTGTTACAGGATAAATTGCTTTCCAAATTGGAAGAAAATGAGCCAGAACTTGCCACGTCACAAGAAGATGAGGTACGTTTTTGTTTCTCATTTCAAATTAATCATGTATACATTGATTTGTTGCATGTTTTAGCGTAGATCTAACGGTACACCAATTAGTTTTAACAAAAATTAAAAATAGCTACTCATAAAACGCAAGCTACTTTTCTCTGAAAGCCGGTACTTCGAAGACACTCACACAGAGCGTACATACACACAAGAAGAGACGTTAATATTACCACAAGAGAGATACGAGCAGAACACACTCCTCAGTGTGTGTCCCCAACTTGGGGGTCTTATTGTATTCTGCCTGGTCTATCACACAAGACAGGAGGAGGTGATAAATGAATACGGTGCAAAAATTAAATGATAAATAGGAGGGGGTAAAGTGGGGGAAGAAGATGGAGATAAATCTGCTCTGGTGCCATTCCTTCTACAAAGGATCAGACATGAAATCCTCCGGCTTGAACCCGACTTTCCGTGGCGTTAAGCCAAGGTCTAGTCTGCCTTACGGCCTATCTGAGCAGACAATTTTCCGTTAAAGACTTCTTTTCATTTCCACGTTACACAGTTTTAGTATATTCGGACCGCCTCCGTGGTCTAGTGGTCAGAGTTCCTGGCTACAGAACCACAGGTCCGGGGTTTGATTCCTTGAGCTACCAGATTTTCTGAGAAGTAGTGGGTGTAGAACGGGGTAAACTCAGCCTCGTGAGGATAATTGAGGAGCTACTTGAATGGAAAAGTAGCTGCTCCAGTCTAGAAAACCGAAATTAACGGCCGTGGGGATCCGTTGCGCTGACCACGCGACACCCTCTATCCGCTAAAGTTGGCACTAACTTCTCTTAAAAGAGGAGGTCGCTCGGTCGGTATTGTTCGCTTGCGGACTACAGGCCACGGAGCTTTTTTCGCGCTATATTCTTAGGACCAGAGACATTTTCCAACAAGGCCAGCATCTGTTTAATTTGAATTCCGTTTTAGACAGATATTAGGTCGAATAGCGTTTTATCGTGTTGTGTTGTTCGAAATGTTGATCACATTAACAACACACGTAACTAGAAGTGTATATCAACAGTGACGTGTTTGTAAGCGTTTTGTAGGTAAGTAATTCTGCTTTACACCTTGTGTGAACATCAATAAAACTGAAATATCTAGGGCCGTTTCTATGTAGTAGCATGACTAATCCCGTGGTCGGGCTGTCACAGATCTCGTTAATGGGGTAAAGGCTTGTGGACTGCTCAGGGATTAGCGTTTAGGCTGCCCATAACATAAGCTACAGCACAGTCGCAAAGCAGTTCTGAACTGCGCCTACAGTGATCACATTTCCTGCGGATGGAGCTCGTTGGTCCATGAATACGTACCAACTTAACTCGCACAGAGGCTTATATATTATTAAAGAGTATCTTGTGATGTGGAGTGACGTTTCTTTGGCATTACTGCTTGGCGACATACTGAAATAAAAACTAAATTGTCCGTGTGCTTAACTAATTAAGCACTATGCCATGAAGGCGTATAGGCGAGTGGATGTATAGATCCATGTTTTTTTGAACTCGGCATTAGTTGGAGGTGAGTAGTCACCTTCACGCACCGGCTGCTTTACCCCCGGGGAAAGATCCACCGATACCCAATTTGATAGGAGGCTGGCTGGACCCCATAGCCGGTCCGGACTACGTGGAGAAGAGAAACTTCTTGACTCTACCGGGACTCGAACTCCAATCCCTCGGTCGTCCAGTCCGTAGCCAGTCACTATCCAGGCTCATGACATGCTGAAATGTATTTCATTATTTATATAGGATGTACTTGGACCTCGCGCGTTTACATTCTAATCACACAAGTAACACATTCACTGCCGGTCACGGTAGCCGAGCGGTCTAAGGCATGCACTGTCTTCGCTCGCTCGGAAGCCGAGATCGTGGGTTCGAATCCCACTCAGGATATGGATGTTTGTGTGCGTTTTTCTGCGTTTGGCTACAGGTAGAGGCCTTGAGACGAGCTGATCACCCCCCCACAAGGAGTCCTACCGAATGTGTAAGATCTAGAAAAACCGAAGTGAACGGAGAAGTTCATGGAGGTAGGCCTAGGCCCACTGGGGCTGTAGTGCCAAGGAAAAAAAAACACATTCACTGCTGGCTTGGTGGAAAGAAGGGGAACGAAGAAACGGAGGGAAGAAAAGGTTCCAAGAGACTCTCTTAAGTAAGAATTTGTCATTAAAATGATGACAGTTGATGACAGAAGGACGGACAGACATGTTGGCAGATTCACCTACTGAACTGATGGATATAGTAAGGTAAAATGTAAAGCTATCCTTGTACAGGCCATCGAGGCCCATAGGGTTGTGAGACGTCGAGGCTCCCATATTTTCTAGACAACCGGCTCATAGATGGCGGTGAGGCTGTTAGTCTTNCCCCCCCCCCCAGTAAGATATTCTCATTTCTGTTAGAGGTTCTAACAGAAGTGAGTACCAGGAATCTTTCTGGGGGTAAAGGACGGTCGGCGCGTAAGGTGACAACCTCACCGCCATCTGTGTGATGATTGACTAAAAAATGTGGGAGCCTCGACGTCTCACGACCCTATGGGCCTCGATGACCTGTTACAAGGATAGGTTTTACCTGTAGACAACTCATATCGGCCCCCGTGACATTTCAAAGAGTTAATCTATCAAACAGATTATTTGGTTGATATCCCTCTGTTTTGTAAATTGTAATCTTCATGGTTTGCATCCTGTTGTATATTAGATAAAAGGGTAAATTGGTCCCTCGATCCAACGTAAATATCTTCAAATGAAGATAAACGTAGATACTGTCTTATCACTATTTTGTATTATGTAAAGGTGATGCTACATGTTTCGACATTTTTAGATCATCATCAGGCGTTGAAAGAAAAATAAAACAAAGTTCTTAAATTGTCTCACCATGGATCCACACTGTGATCTGTTGTCACCATTCACAGTGAATCCATTTTAGACGAATGTAGACTAGCGCTAAACGCACGCACCTTGTAATATGTGCTTATATACTAGGTTAAAATAAATATAATAAAATTAATTAAAATTCAAAGTTAAACCCTTAAAGTGTTAAAGTTATATACTTGATCAAAATTATGGTTTGTTCTAAATTTATATCTAACGTGGTCTTAAAATTAAGTTAGCCTAACTTTGCGGTAAATTAGCCTAAGTTTATTTAATAAAAACTATATCAAAATAATGTGCATTTTTATTCATTCGTGTATTGTTGCGTGAATATTGCGTCATGCTGCCAAGCGAATTGTCAGTGTGCAGTAAAAACAAATATTGATTTACAGTGACAGATTCTGAGAAGTGTTTTGTAAAACGATTTAAGTAACACATGTACTCTTCCTCCTTCTCTTATTTATTATTTGTTCTCCTTTGTAAATCTGCTTTTATTTCTCTGCCGATCCCAGTGGCCGCGCGGTCTGAGGCATGAACCGTCTTTGCTCGCTCAAACTTTGAGGTCACGGGTTCGAATTCCAACTCGAGGCATGGATGTCTGTGTGCATTTATTCTGTGTTTGTATTGTTCTGTGTGTAAGTATCGGCCTTGCGACAGGCTGATCCCCCGCCAAGGAGTCCTATAGACTGTGTATAAATAGGAAAATGGCTGTAGAGCCATAAATAGATTTTTTTTTTCTGTTCCGTTTCATTCTCTCTTTTTTTTTTCGATGAAAGCTCAGTAACTTTTCATGTCCTTCAAGCATAGTGACGTTCCTACCAGAAACCGAATAGTGAAACGCAATAGGACAATTAGTAGAATCTTTTACATTAGTATAACAAGTATTCCATCTGATACCGTAATCACAGGATTGGTTAACAGAAATTGTTTCATAATTTTTTGCTGTACAAGGAGGTCAACACGAAACTGTGTTTGCATGTCCTCAAATCGATTTGTTTTTGGCTCATCTCGGTTTGTGCCTTCTACCCTACATAAATGCACGCCTCGTAGCTGTGTGCTGCGGCCGCAAACAATAGTAGAGTGAATCTGGTTCACTGACTAGTCTATTATTTCCGCTTCCATGAGCAGAAAATGAAGTGGGCACCTTGGATGTAGGCAGTACGCTCGACATTGGCGAGACCACGCGAGACATTTCATTCATACCATCTACTACCTTATACGAGTACAGTCAGACTTTTCAGTCGTGGAAACTGAGCTGCGCGCGAAGGGATGCCCGTGCAGGGAAGTAGAACATTTTTGTGTCCTTCAGAAGAGCATGCTGATGATCTGAAAGTTGTTGCACCGTCTTGACACACTCACGACCCTTACCTGGTTAAATACTCCACCACTTTTACTCTTCCGGTCCCGAAACCAAGAATGACTGTGCTAGAGAGGGTCAGCAGCAATTTGCTAGACTGGACTGGACTGGACTGGACTGGACGCTTTTTGTCTTGACGGAACTTGAAATTTCCGTGAATGCTTTCACTGTCAGTTCTTGAAAATATAAAATATTAATACATCCAGAGAGCCGACTCTATATTTCCATCATTAATAAACATTCCCATAAGTTAAAATTGTCCCTGTGCTTAATTAATTAAGCACCACACCACGAATGCCGGGATAGCGTAGTCGGTATAGCGACTGGCTACGGGCTGGACGAACGAGGGGTCGGGTTCGAGTCCCAGTAGGGTCAAGAATTTTATCTTCTCCACGTCGTCCAGACCAGCTCTGGTGTGCACCCAACCTCCTGTTCAATGGATACCGAGGGCTTTTCCCCTGGGGGTAAAGCAGCAGGGATGTGAAACTGACCAGTCACCTCAAACTAGTGCCGAGGTCAAGAAAATGTGGATCTATACATCCACTCCCCCATACGCCTTCATAGCGTAATGCTTAATTAGTTAAGCACAGGGACAAATTTACATGTTTACTTTAGCATTACCACACAAGGAAGACGTGTGGGAGACTGGACGTATCTCTCCACCATTCTCTTACTTCGTCACTATATGGAGGTGAATTGTCAGCCTCACGCCCCATCCGCTCTAGCCCCGGTGCCATTTGAATTAGGAGGCTGCTTGGGCCCCAGAGCCGG